TGGGCGCCAGCATGGGTTCGGGGACCGGCAACGGGAACGCACCCTTCGGTGTCGCTCCCGCGCCTCGCTCAGCCAGTGAGCGGGAACCGGTCTGTATGTGGGATCCGAACCCTCGGGCGGGAGCGCTACCGTGCTTCTCAAGCGGCGCACTATCCAGTGCGCCACCGGGCCGGCCCCAAAGTCCGTTTTCTGTTGCTGTAACAGAATACCTAAGACTGAGTAATTGATAGAGAAAAGAGAGCGCGTTTGGCTCTGGAGCCTGGGAAGTCCAAGGGCATAGTGGAAGCTTCTGGCAAGGGCTTTCATCCTCCTGCTCCATTACAACATGGCAGAAAAGTGGAAGGGCATCTAATCCAGTCACACCAGAGCAAGAACTCATCATTCCCCAGAGAATTAACCCAGTCCTGTCAGAGTGGCATTAACCCCTCTTAATGACCTGCTCACCTTGCAAAGGCCCCACCTCCCAACACACCACACCAGGGACCAGATTTCCAACACATAAATTCTGTGGGACCCAAACTCTAGTAATAAATATCACTGCTAACCTAGAGAATTCTCCTGAAGAACTTTTTTTTTATTTGTAATTTCTATTCAAGGCAATGCATTAATTGAAGTTGGTGAATCCATGAAGCTAATGGCTGAGGTGAAAGACTCACTTGATATTAATGTAAAGCAAACTTTTATTGATCCACTTCAGTTACTACAAGAAAAAGATTTGAAAGAGATCGGGGTAAGTCTTCCAGGCTATAAATATACCTGTTACTACTTAAAATGATGTTTGTATTTAGGGCCGAGCCCGTGGCGCACTTGGGAGAGTGCAGCAGCGCTCCCGCCGCAGGTTCGGATCCTATATAGGGATGGCCGGTGCGCTCACAGCGCTCACTGGCTGAGCATGGTGTGGCCGGTCTCAAAAAGGACAAAAAAAAAAAAAAGATGTTTGTATTTAAACTCATTAGAATGTCTCTGCAGGGACTCTGTGAAAGCATCATATTATTGTAGGTGGTAAAAAAATAATTCAGTTATATTTACCTGGACTCACTGGGAAAGAGAACCAGGATCAATAAACCCTATCTGCCATGGAGACGGGGCGTGGTGAGAGGTGGGGATGCAAACCACGTTCCTCCAGCTTTAAAATTGTGTATCTCACTGAAGCCAGCTGGAGGCCAAGCTGAAATCCATATTCCTGCAGCCATTTTTCACATAACAAAATGATTCTATAACTTTGCAGTGGATTTTTGATCGTTAGAATCGTGCACATGAGTTGCATTTTTGATACGTTGCACGAGCACTCATATTCCATTACTTCTCAAGGACACCAGCATTTAAGCATGTCATTTTTCATTTGGAGAACTATTATAAATGGTCTTTCAGAGCAAACATGGGAAGTTTCAAGTACCTGTAGGTAGTTGCGTGCCACCTGCTTGGTGGCATTTTTGTAGATGTGCTAAAACAGACCCAAGACTTCCATCCTGCTGTGCACTCTGGAGGTACCGATGCCTTCTTATGGAGCTGCCCAGAAGACCTTCCTTCAGGTGCCTTCGAGCATGTTCTGAGTGTAGCCCAGGCCAGTCTGGAAGTCATTTGAGCCTTGGGGACGTCCTTTTTTCCTTTCTTCAGGCCCATTGATTTTCAAAGTGTGGTCCCTGGACCAGCAGCATCAGCATCACTTGTTAGAGATGCGAATTCCTAGGTCCCATCCCAGACCTCCTGAATCAGAAACTCTCAGGGTGAAGCCCATCAGTCTGCCTTTTAAAAAGTCCTCAGTGACTGTGATGCACATTAGGGTTTGAAGACCACTGTTCCAGCCCATCCTTTCCAGACTCTTGAATGGTAACGTGAACCCTCACTGTTGTAACACGTCCGTGGTAGAGATGGGTCTAGGGAATGTGTGAGCTTGGGTTGCCTTCCCTGCTTGGCCAGTGGGCCCCAAGGTGGCGCTGCGGTCCATGGCCCAGGAACTGATGGATGCCAGTTCATTAGTCCATCATTGGTTCATTCCTTCATTTATTCTTCCAACAACTGTGTATCAGGAACTTGCTGTGTCCTGCTACTGTGGTGGGCATGTGTTGCAAGACAAGACCCAGTGCACATCCTCATGAAGCTCACAGGCAAAGATGGAGAGACAAGTGAGGAGTTAGTATATTCTGTTACAGGTGCTGTTAGAGAGACAAGCCCAAAGACACCAAGGAGGGGCACCTTGGTAGAGGTGGAGCAACCGGCCAGGCACACTAGAGTGGGCAGAACAGCCAGCACAAGCTGGCCAAAGGGCCAGGCCTGTGAGAGTGTGCAGGTTAGGAAGCTGGGCTGGCTGGTATGGCCAGGGAAGGCAGGTGTGCAGGGGACAGGGGAGACGTGGAGGAGGAAAGGCTGGGTGGCATAGAGAGTCCTGGATGCCTGTATAGGCATTCAGTGTCTATGCTGAAAGGAACGAGTATGAAGGGGAATTCAGGAAGGTTGAATGAAAAGTGAATGCCACCTCCAGGAGCTCCCTAAACTTTCCACTCCCCACCTGAACACCCCCCACCCCCTCACCTGCGGCTTCCTTCCATCGCAGGGAAAACACTCCCTGTCGCACTCTTAGGATGGTCCCCACTGGGCCCCAGGGTCCATCACCCCTCACTCCTCAGGGCCTTTGCCACATCCGTGGTCTTCTTTCCTGTACCTTCATTCTTTCCCTATCTGTTGGCTTCCTCCTGTTAACACTACTGCTTACCTTTGTCTCTTGTGGGGCAGCAAGTTCCTCGGGGGATGAATCGTGCCTTGTTCACTGTTGTAGCCACAAGCCTGCCACGTGGTTTGTGCTCACAAGTTATTATTGAATGAATGACCCTAGAGAAGAAGTGGCGGAAAGGCTGGGTGGCATAGAAAGTCCTGGATGCCTGTATAGGCATTCAGTGTCTACGCTGAAAGCAACGAGTATGAAGGGGAATTCGGGAAGGTTGAATGAAAAGTGAATGCTACCTCCAGGAGCTCCCTAAACTTTCCACTCCCCACCTGAACACCCCTCACCTCCTCACCTGTGGCTTCCTTCCATCGCAGGGAAAACACTCCTTGTCACACTCTTAGGACGGTCCCCACTGGGCCCCAGGGTCCATCACCCCTCACTCCCCAGGGCCTTTGCCACATCCATGGTCTTCTTTCCTGTATCTTCATTCTTTCCCTATCTGTTGGCTTCCTCCTGTTAACATTTAAACACATCAACACAGTAGCCCATGACTCCTGGAGTCACATCTCGACTCATACTGACTCAATGACGCGCTCTTTCTTCATTCCCCTGTGCCAGGGGCACCACTGCTTTCCTTTGTCTCTTGTAGGGCAGAAAGTTCCTCGGGGGATGAATCGTGCCTTGTTCACTGTTGTAGCCACAAGCCTGCCACGTGGTTTGTGCTCACAAGTTATTATTGAATGAATGATCCTAGAGAAGAAGTGGCTTTATATTTCTAGGTTGGGGGGATGCCAAACATCTTCCCCAAATGCAGATCCTTAAGACCAAATGCCTCCTTTGCTAAAATATAGCAAATTTTATTTCTTCTTGTGCTGTTGTCCTTGAGGAAGGCCGTACAAAAAGTCCATTGCTCGACACTGCCCCTCCCTTGTCCTGCACAGTTACCTTCTCTACAGTGTTTCTGACACGGGATCCCTTTGCTGGAATACGGACTTTGACACAGAACTTACCACTACACAAGGCAGCCCATTCCATGAATGGACAGCCCTGAGTGTTGTATTTCTTTAAAGGGATTATAACATTGTTTAAACATTTCACCATTTTATAGGTTGTCTGTGAATATCTCTCCTCCGCGTTCACTGATAGCATGTCATGCAGTCTATTCTGAAGTTATTTGGGAATTTTATGGAAGATTCATAAATATCTTAGGGGATCCTGGTAAGGTGTGTTCTTACAGTCTACCTCTTAGTGAGGATTTGACAATAGTGCCAAAAAAGAAATGTCCCTACTAATTTTTGTATAGTTACTTTGGATAGAAATTATCTGGACATTAATAGAGCCAAAGTGAGGGGCTCTATAAAGAACGTTGGAAATGGTATTTGAGCACAGATACTACGTCCTGTGTCCCATGTAGACACTCATTCACTCTGTCACCCACCCGTCCGTCCATTCGTTCATTCACTGCACAGATGTCCCCTAAGCACCTGCAGTGAGGGGAGCCTTCAGCAGTTGCTGAGGTGCACACACCAGAAGTGGAAGATGGTGTACTAATACATTTCTGTTGCTTGTAACAGAAACTTGGTAATTTATAAAGAAATGAATTTTGTAAATTTTTAAATAAATGAAATTTGTAAAGAAATGAAACTTATTTCTTAAAGTTTTGGAGGCTGGGAAGTCTAAGGTCCAGGGGGCACATCTGATGAGGGGCTTCTGGGTGGGAGCTCTCTACGGTGTCCCGTGGGATGCGGAGCATCTCATGGCGAGAGAATTGGCCTGAGCAAGAGCTCGCCCATGTGCTCTCTTTATGAAGCCGCCGGTCCATACCCGTGACAGCTCATTACCATCAACCCATGACTCCATTTGCGAGGGCACAGTCCTCACGATCTAATCACTGCTCAAAGGCCCCACCTTTCAAATATCATAATTGGATTTCTTACCCTCTTAATGCTGTTATACGTGAACTTTGGGAGGACACATTTGACCCATAGCAGATGTGTCCTGACCTCTAGAATTTAGATCGAGAAAAAGCAATGACAACTTTCATAGAAAAAAACAAAAGTTTTTTGTGCCATGTTTTAAATGTAACCATTCTCTGAGGGATTTTTTTTTTCTTTTTTAGCACCACCTGAAAAAGCTGGAAGGCCGCCGCCTGGATTACGATTATAAAAAGAAGCGAGTAGGTAAGATTCCAGATGAAGAAGTCAGACAAGCAGTAGAAAAATTTGAAGAGTCAAAGGAGTTGGCTGAAAGAAGCATGTTTAATTTTTTAGAAAATGATGTAAGTATTTAAACCAAACAGGAGACTTTAATGTAAATAAATAAAACATTGATTATATGACTATGATTAGCATGTTGAGAAGCTCTAAAGCGTTAGTTCCTATGAAAGTTCTAGAATTTTCTGTGACCATCAGATCTGAGATATTCAGATATACAGCAAACCCTGACTCAAATCTTGAATTTTGGGAAGTCCTGTTTATCCCAGTATTGTTTTCAGAGATGTGCTCTGAGCCCTGGAGAGGCCCTGGGGAGGTGAGGTTGTCTCAGAAGATTGCAAAGGAGACCAGCCTTTGTATTCGAGGCCACGGCATTTGTGGTTTCACAGGAGAATGGAAAACCCAGGTCATGTGGTAATTTGCAATTTTGCTAAGACTGAAAAGCAGATGTTTGAGGAGGAGCAGCTTTCTTAGCTAGCGGGAGAGCCTCTCTCATCCCCCAGCTCTCTGATGCCTTTACTTAGTTAATATTCAGGATATTAAAGTGTGACCTGCATTTTTCAGCTGTTCCATAGTGGTGCTTGTGAACTTGGGGATTGTGAAGGTGTTGGGGCATATGCATCAGAAATGCCAATATTCTATTGTACTGTGATTCTTGCCACCAGCTTTGATTTGATTTGTCCAGTGAAGTCAAATGAAATGGAACTAAAGGAGATGGGTGACTCCTGACTGGGCAGCGCGCAGGCTGAGGGCCTCCCTCTTTGTCTGGGTTATGAGGTGTCATCTGGCATATTTACTGGCTGCATGGAAGAGGCTTTAGCCACCGCCTCCCTGCTGAGTCCCAGCCCCCAGTCTGGCCTCCACGATGCCAGGAGTTATCTCAGCCCAAGCATGAGCTTTGGACCTATTTGTTAAACTCCTGAACCTGTGGGGACAAGTCACGGGACTTATCCTCAGAACCATGTTGTACTCATAATAGTTTATTGAAAGGTGCACTGAGGTCTTACATCTTCTGAGTTGGGGGAAGGACAAAATACCAGTACGCGGTGGGGCGGGGCATCCATTAAAACCTCAGTCCACCTTGGATGACAGGCCAGGGTCGGTGGCTCTGTAGCCCATAGGACTCTGTGTTGCTGCTCCCTCCGTGTGAC